GAATGCTAAACGTCGAGACAAAAGAAAGGGTGGGTTCGTCCGGCGATAGGATTTATCCCAGATACACTCGAGCTTGTGCAGATAAAAAGATCGTCATTGTGTTTTGCCGAGATTGCACTAGAATACGGCTCCGCGCTTTATCATGTCGCGAGCTTTAGCACGAGTGATTTATTCGCGAAATATCTTTTATCGCGACGTCCTCCGAGTGCGCTAATGCATGCACAAGATATATCTTGAAAGAAAATCTCCCCAAGAACAACTAACAATACCGATGATTAATCTGTGTGAAATACTTCGGAGGGTGAATTAATCTAAATTTACATAGCACCTGGAAACGTTCCGCAGGAAGCAAATTAATTAAATTCAAAGGACGACGTGTAACTTATCGATATTCACACACGCGTGCTCATCACGCACTATTTCCCAATATTTCCTCGCGCTTATATTTCGCGCTTATCTCAGCGCGCGTATCTCCACGTGCGCGAAGATTGTCATCAAGATCCAAAGATCAGCGTTCTCAGCGTCGTGCAATTATTTGCGCGACATGCATCGGTTAGAGCGTCCCCTCGAATTTCGCAGAAGACGTCGAGCGAGAACGTTCCGCGGACTCGCCTACGTCCCGCCGGGGCATTCATGTCTCCGCCATGTCCTGCGCAAGGACAATTAGAAGATATCGTCGATAAAATAGCCGGCAGCCCCACGAACCTGCCCAGGTACATGCCGTTTGTCTCCGTCGCACCCACGCGTTTGCGCGTGCGTTACTTCGCCGACGGTGAGATTAGTGGCGAAACAGTAAATATCATCATTACCACCGCGGCGCGCGTTTGGGAATCACGAACGCGCGCGGGATTCCTTCTCGCCACCGATCCTGGTTTAAATATCACCTGTCAGGCGCGCACCGACGGCGACGGTCGTCCCGTCGCAGCGCGCTCGTCACAATTTCTCCCGCATCCTTTGTTCGTCTCGATTTGCTCGCCGCATTTTTTTATACCTCCACCCTCCCCTCGCCGTTTGTCTCGCGGTTTCGCGCGAAACGGGAGATGCGCGCGGATTATCCATCCCACGCAAAGAGAGAGAGAGAGAGAGAGAGAGAGAGAGAGAGGACAGGTCGAAGGGGGGACGAGAACACGCGGGTATAACCCGCACGAGAAATGTCGTCGCGGACGGCCGCACACGAGGGGTTTTCGCGTACATTTCGTGAACCACCGCGGGGAACAGTGGGTACTCAGTCAGTTTTCCCCCGCGGATTAACGTGGACGTGAACGTGTACGTCGTGGATCGAACGTAAAAGGAGACACATTATAAATCACTCCGCATAATATAGCGAGATACATCTCTCATTATCGACGGCTGCGCATTGCAGAAATCGCACTCTCATGAAATATTTATAAGAGACTATATTTTCTTGTAATTATTTATTAGTTATGCGTCCACATTCAGTCATACCCACGCGCGACTTATCCGCGAGATCTCCGCGAGATCGCAGAACAACTGTGCAATTATGTTCCTACATTCGTTAGTTCATTTTAAAATCCCCTGCCTTGTGCCTTTAGCCGGGACTCAACGTGGCATCGTTTTGATGCCACGCGGATGTCCTCGTGTTCTCTGTGCGAAAGATATCGAAGGACAATAGGATGACGCTCGCGACGTCGCGAGTCAAGGAGCAAGGGACGAGAATGCGTTCCCAAGTACAACGGGGTGCGTCTTCGAGAATTCTTCCACTGTATTAAAAGAATCTTATGAAATTCTTTAAAGCATATATATACATATATAATAACTTTTAAATATATATACTAAGGGGGGAGCAGTACCGCAGGCCACCTTGCGAGATCCCGATCTCGCCAGGAGGACGAGGATGCGCCCCGATGTTCCGGCCGGGGTATGTCGCAAGGATCAGCGATGCGCGGCGCGGTGCGGCGAACCGCGCGGCGAATCGCGTTGCATCGCTCGGTGCAGTGAAAGGAATACGCCCTACGATGATCCGTGGCGAATCCGACGGCGATCTGAATCCCGTTACGTCGAGACTCTACGAGAAGCGCGAGTGCGCGAGGGTAATGACGGGTCTCCCGGCGATGAGCGCGCGTATCGTCGTTAAGCTCGATCCGTCGCGAGCGCGCACGTGTAGGGCGTGTGTGAGCACACGTGGACGCGGATGCATGATGCAGTCTCACGCGCGGAAAAAATCGGCGCGATTCGCGAGAGATGTTTCGCAAATGTCGAAGTGCGAGGATGATACGTCGCGAAAGCCGATCGCGCTGTGCTTTCGGCAAAAATTTCAGGAACAATCGGCGAGCCGCCGCCACCGCGAAATGTTAACGAATTTTCATCGCATGAGCGCGTATCGGTATAATTAGTAAAAAATGTTCCTCCGAGCGCACCCAAAATTGGAAGATCAAGAAATCCACAAAAATCATCAAAAAACTCACAAGAGGACTAGAAACAATGAGTTTTTACTCAATTTTCAAGACTTCTTAAGCGAATTTCAAATCTCCCGTAACACTCAAACTATCATAAAAAATTTCTGATTTCCCGCAATTCTTGCGGGAGCACGATTTTTGCGAGTAAAATGAGTAAAAATTAGATAAAAACCTTTGAATTCTCTCTACTAACTTCACAATTTTAAATGCTTTCAAAAAAAGTATTGCATTTCGAGCGCATCTCGATGTGGGAGGTGAACCTATGATTTTTAAACGCGAAGCGTTTGATACATTTTCAACGAAAAAAGACCGAAAATCTCACCCAACCTCCCTAAATTTTCAAAACCTTCCGCGAAAAAAGACAATGGGAAAGCTGAATTTTAAATCTCCCACAACACCCCAAAATTTCCGAGCGCACTTCATGTGGGAGATAAAAAGATCATTAAAAACACTCTATAAAATCATGGTTTTTATAAAAAATAAAGAAATGTCATACACAACCCTCAAAAATAAGTAAAAAAAATCTGCTACAACAAAATCTTCCGAGCGTACTAGGGAGACGACCCTTCGGGTCTTGAGAGCAACGTTTTAGATAAACCTATGGGTTTTTGAGTATAGGAAACGTTTGATCAAAAGAATCCTTAAAAATCTTTAAAACCTACAAAACATTCACACATAAAACATTTGTACGCAATTTTTTTGAGGTTTATTTTTACCTTCCAATCATCAATTTTGAAGCATTGCAAATTAAATTAAAATTAAATTAAAATTGTTAAAATAAGCTTGTTGAAGGCCACATCGTGATCATCACCACTCAGCTGATTATATTTGACTTCAATTACAATCACAAAGTCGCCTAACCAATTATAACTAACAATTACTTGGACCTTCTCAGAAAGAGGCAGATATCAGCTTCTATTACAAAATGTGAATATATTAGTTTGCATATATTAATAGATAGAGAAAATAAAGTGACCTTCTCTTCTTTGTTTAAAATTGTGAAATTAGTAGAGAATTTAAAGGTTTTTATCTAATTTTTATTCATTTTACTTACAAAAATTGTGCTCCCACAAGAATTGCACTCGGAAATTTTTTATGATGATTTGAGTGTTGTGAGAGGTTTGAAATTTGTTTAAAAAAAGTCTTGAAAATTCTGTAAGAACTCATTTTTTCTAGTCCTTTTATGTCCTTTTTTAATGATTTTTGTGGGTTTTTTGATCTCCCACTTTTGGGTGCGCTCGGAGCAACATTTTATACTCTACTATAATTGTATTGATGAGGCCTCGAAGTAGGCCCGAGACGTTCACAATTAGGAGCGAATCATAATCGTAACGCTAAAATCTAGCGGACCACGCGCGCCACGCGAGAACGGTATAAATAGTCCTCATAAGTGAGTGTTTTACACAATGAGAGAAAGAAAGAGAGAGAAACGCTCTAATATGCACGTTGCAAATTCAATTGATACAGAATGGCACGCGCCTAAGTGTCTCGACCTCCAAGCGATGCGAACGATATACGTGCGAGGCGCATAAGAGTTGCGGGAGAAAAACTTGAGTAATGCCAAGCGTGAGACATGAGTAACAGCTACGTGACAAATTACGTGCGCATGTTTAACATACGTTAAAAGGCCCATATCGCGGGGCTGGTGTTGCGAAGTAACGCGCGCAGTTGAAGACCAACGCTCGAGAGCTAATGCGCTATTTTATCCTGCGATCTGCCTAATCGACCCGCAGACCTATTTTGCAACTTTTAACCACGGTATCGTTGTTATCGTTACGTAGTCGTTGCGCATCTTCTCTGTCATACCTTAACCTTACGCAACGATAATGTGTCGATAACAACACTCTTGCCCAAAATTACAGAATAGATAACTGAGGAAACGGAAGTGGGGGAGGACCCATTCCGGACGCGTATCGAACACTAACATGTCCTTCTGACTGTCTCAAGCTGAAACAACACGACCATCAACCTCGAACGTTAAAAACAGGTCGTACGACGTAATGATAATGTTGTAATCAGTCGAAGTAAAAATTCTTTTTCTAGAATAGATCTTTCAAAATGCTCTGCAATCTCCGCTCCTCGTTCAAACTCTTCACTCAGCGAGAAAGAAACAAACGAGAGAGGTGTACCAGAATTTTAATCTCGCCTTTTCCAACGACGGTGCACACTTTTACGGGCCCGTAGCTACTTTGTGGTCCACAGCCAGTTCGCCGGTATAACGATGCGCCGGTGTGCGTAATCTAACGAGCTTGTACGTAACGAAGACACACGTTTGCACGAAGGATCGCGATACGTGGGCATAGATGCGCACGCGGATGCATCAAGAAATATATACACACACAGACACACAAATATACATACGTATACAAGCACACACTTGAGGCAAATGTGCTGCACGCGAGGGGGATCACCGGTTGCCACCTACCGTCTAATCAGAAAGCCCCGGCCACATCCACCACCCTTTAGCACGGTATTACGCGAATGCTTCCAAGATTTATTCTCCCCTTCAACCTCCGGAAAACGATGGCGGGGCAAAAAGGGGGCACAAGCAGAGCGTCTCGGCGACTATAAAGCCTCACCGTGACCCACCTAAGACCGTACCTCTAACTGCAGTTAGCACGAGAGTCTCGTACGTGGCTTTTCGGGAGATTCGAGCGCGCCTCGACAGTGTGATTACTCGCTGGGCACGCACGTGTGCACGTCCATAAAAAGAAAGAAGAAGTATCGAGAGTCGCCCGGCTTTCTGCTTCCGGAATACGCCGTCAGCATGAAAACCCTCGTGAGTGTAAATCTCCCCCGACTTGGCCCGGCGCGTTTCGGTGATTCGCCTCGCTCTCTCGATCGTTGACACGTAGAGTTAATTGGTAACTTTGTCTAATCGCACCGTTCCTAACTTGCTCTTAATTAATCGCCATGATTCGTAGCATTCTCAGTTGAATTCAATTCATGTCGACCATCCGTCGAGAGACTCCGATCACTTTATTTTTCATTTCTTATTCTCGACTCGCGTTCTCGTCGACGAACAAACGCCGCGTTGTGAAAAATTTTAATTCATGTAAAAATTGTAATTCATGCGAGAGGAGAATGACCGATTACAAAAAGAAAAACTCATTAAATTTCTCAGGCAAAGTTGCAAATTTCAAAATTCACAAGATTATATCACGAGCTCTTTCAGCTCGCGATCTGACAGTTGATTGTGTGTCGCTGAAAAGATCGGCGAATCGGTTAACGTTAAATGTTGCCCTCTGTAATTGGCCGGAAACGGTTTAACAAAACGCGACGTTTAATAATCGCTGGCAAATTTTACGACACCCTCACACGATACATGTGTACAATAACAAGCAGACGATGTGACGGATGATCGGCAGTTTTTGTACCGTGTTCTTCTCTGAGCGTGCCTTCTCTTCGTCGTTTTACTAAACCGGACGCGGCCGGGAGCGCGATGAAGAAACTGTGACAATCGGATGCGGAGAGATTTCACGGGATCGCCACGGTGACCCGGTTGCCGCGGAGGGTTTGACACGACTAAATCCGACGAATCGCGGTGATCCAATCGCGCGTTCGTGCGAACTTATTAAAATTCGCATTTTATTAGCGCACTCAGCGAGGCTCCTACGGACATATCGGTCTCTCGCGACGCGGAGACGATTTTATCAGCGAGTTAATTTCGTCATTTCCGTTCAGCAAGCACGAACACGGCGACCGTAATATTCTCGGAAGAATGACGACGATTGCGATCGTTGTTCATTACAATTGCGCTATTTCGCATCGCGCTAATATCATCTTCGCCCGACTTAACAATTGCCTGTCGTGCGAACAACGCGAGATCGAACGCTTCGGGTGAGCGACACTTTTACAACCGCCTGGTAATGCTCTCTCTCTCTCTCTCTCTCTCGCGTTATTTATTAATTAAGTATATTCTACTCTTCTCTCTTTCATTCGCGCGTTCGTGCTCGCGCACGCGTGCGCGCGTGAAAAAAAAATTGCGTCTTGTGAAAATCACTTGACTCCCGGCTGTCGGCACACAATGGAGGAGGACTCGACGAGCGTGAGACGAAGATTATGACGCACGGGATACGTACAATTATTCATAACCGCGCTGGCTCACGGAGAGAATCGAAATTTTTCTGCGTTCCAAACTGCCTACCCGTTTCAGCCTACCTACCTACCTCCGACCAAACGGCCCTTTTGCATGAGTAATACGCAAGGTTATATAATCCCGCCGGCTCTCGCTGGATCTTCCAGCGTGCTCGTCGTGCTAACCTATAATGCCAAATAGCTGTGGAATATATCTGAAGCGGAGCCTTAAAGTCGGGACCGCGTTTCGCGATTGTAATAATAGTCTTGGCTCTCTTCTCCGTAGCGTAACTACAAGAAACGAGAATTACGTGCGATGTGTTAGATAATATGTAAATGTTGCGCGGATGACGATATTCCTATTAAGAGCAAGAAGACACTTGCACTTCAACGAAGAGACTCGAAGAGGCTTCTCCTTTTTTTCGTTTTTTCATTTTTGTCGGAAGTGATACGTAAATTCATCTAAAAAAAAAAAAAAAGAAAAAAAAATTTCTTTTCTCCGAGGCAAATTCGCATTAATCCGCACAAGCATGTGGTGGATAAATTGTTCCCTACAAAAGATCAATATACCACACACAAATATAATGATTAAAACTCGAGGAGAGTCAGTAATGGAAAAATGCAACGAATTCAATTAATTTCCGACGGTGGGAAATAATACCTACAAATATTATGCACGCGCGCGTGAGAACAATGCGATAAAATTTTCGAGCGAAATTAAGACCGCGGATTGAACGATCGGCCGCTAATTAACGGAGACAATCCGCTCGTTCGCGGCGCGCTCGTGAAGTCTGAGGCGAACTTTTACGACTGTCGCATAATCGGAACGTTCATTTCACAGGTACTGCTGCTCGGTCTGACGACGATGGCGTGCGCGCAGTTCAATAGGTTTACGACCCCGTATCCACAGCCGACGCAATATTACAATCCCAACTACTACGGCCGGCCTTACTACGCCATACTGCGACAAACGCAAGACTCCTCGCCGGACGGATCGTACTCCTACAGGTAAGATCGTCCTTCCGTCTCTCGTCCTGGAACGCGCCGAGCAGCGCACGATAATACGGCATAGCGCCGAGGCGTTCGTACGTTTCCTCGCGGCGCGATCTCGACACGCTCGAGGAATCGCGGTTGCCCTCGAGAGAAGTATGAAAACACTCGGCTCGCGCCATTCGGCCGATGTAATCGCAAAGTTAACACGCTCGCGGCGTGATCGCCGCTCTTTCTCTCCTCCCGCCATCGTCTTCGCGTTCTTCTTCGGCGGGAACGATTAACAAGCGGGAGGAAATGCAGTTAATGCACCGGAAACGCACGAAACTGACGACAGCGAGCGTCGCGCGTGAGATTGCCGCGGTTTCGCTCACGGACGGAATCCTCGACCGATCGAGAAGGCGACTGGGGGAGACGCGAGTCATCAAGCACGGAAAATTGAGCAAGAATCCCGGTTTGAAAAATTTCATACCCCCTAAACGTTCTTTATCCTGTGGAATCCTGTGGAACGTCCTATACAGAATTGCAACTGATTAATCAAATTGGTCGCGTCAATCGTTAATGAGCTACTGAGACGAATTAATCCTTCCCAAGGCAGACTTTATGCAAGATTTATGTTCGCTTTTTCCCTGATCCTGAGCTCAATTTAGAATTGAAATCTGCCTGATGAAATCATCGCGCAAGAGAGAGAGAGAGAGAGAGAGAGAAAGAAAGAAAGAAAGGAAGACTAACAGCTCTGACTACAATTTGTCGATGTTTTGAGCAATCTCGCTAGAGTCAAAGTTAAATACGGCGCGAAGGATGACTAAACCGTATTTCCGGAAATACATTAGGCTCGGTCTGACGTTGCAATTGATGAAGAGGAGGATCACGATACGATCGGCCGGCAGAATGTGGGATGCGTTGCATCGGTCATCGGCGATGTGAGTCCATACGAGCATTGTTCCGCCGCGATTTTTCGACCCCGACGCGACGTCGACATCCTTTTACCGCCCGAGAAAGGAGATCGAACGTCGCAATTATGTCTATCTCGCGCTTGTGCAACTTTCGTTAGCCGGCTCGTGATTATTTTATTAGCCGCCCACCGCGCGTAATTTTCGAATCTCACTCTCGCGACGTGAGGGCGCCGCACTCGGACGGAGAGAAAGAGAATTTGCGAATCAGGCCGAAGGCCGACGGTCGTATATGGTCGTTCGGCAGCTACCGAATACGGTAGCTCAATTAACCGTAATTAGACATACGTGCTGATTTGCGTATAATGTCTCCGCAGGAAACGCCGCAGAAATCCTTCGAAGGAATCCCCGGAATTGGTTAATCTTCTTTTTCATTCGGAGAAACCACGGAATTACCAATTTCGAAATAATTTCTCTTTTCAGTTCGAAATAATTTCTCAGCGCGCTTTATCGCGAATGCTGCGACAGCTTCGTGTACGCGTGCGTCTCGATTTGCGAAACAACAATGACGATTGTGCACTCGGGATTAAAACGTGATCGGCGAACTGCTCTGGAGAAACTTTGCCACTCCTCGTGCGATTTGTTTCTCCGTCCATTCGCTCAAGTGGATAATGGAGAAGAGCCGTGGCGGTCGCTCTCGCGGTGTTATAATGGCAATTATTACAGGCTTGCGACATAATGCGAAATTTCTGTGGCATTCTATGGCGCGCGCGCGCGCGAGAGAGAGAGAGAGAGAGAGAGAGGAATGTAAGCGTCAATAATTACTACGTTAGTCTCGCGACCAGCTCGAATATTATCTTACATTATTAGATAATTATCGGGCTCCGTAGGCGAGGCGCACGACGATCATTGTGTGAAATTCTGCGCGAAAGACGCCGAGAAAAGTCGACCACCGACGGTGCTGCCGGTGACGAAATATCTCTCTTCACCCCGACGCTTTCTAACGCAGATCGCATGATCCGCTATAATTAGCCAAATACGACGAGATTGGCGGCGGGTCGGCGATCATCGAATTATCTCTGTTAGGTGATGCGGCCGTTTCGTCCCGAGCGCAGCGTGATATTTAAATCGCGCACGATCCATTCATCTCGCGAGAGCGCGACAACGGGCCGCGGAATTGGAAACCCGCGATTATCGTTACGACACGCTCATTTTCCACGCCATCGACACTCGCTCCCCGGCCGATTGAATCCGCCATTGGATTCAGTAGTCTTCACCTTGCGCACATCACGGTAGTTGCTCGACCATTCATAACTCGGTAATGACCGATTGTCTCGCTTTGCTCCTCAACCGCGACTCGCGGGACATATCATTCGAGATAATCGATCGGGCGCGGCCGAGGTCGCGGGCCATTCGGACGCGGGTCAAACCGCGCCCGATGACTCCGCGAAGACGCTAAGGCTCGGGACGACGGTCCCCCGAGAAAACCGTGAACCCTCCGCGCGCAGGACGGATGGCTGGCCGGCTACCTAGGGAAGGATACCTAATTGGCTTTGATGTTAATCGTACGCGCCACTCGGCTGCGCAGTTCGCAACAGCGCATTGCGCAATCGAACAATTACAATCGACCTACCTGCCTGCCTGCTTACCTACGCGCTCACTTTCCTCACCTTCCCCGTCCTCAGTGCCCTCAAGCTCGCACCTAACTCGGGCCCCTCCCGTGACACCTGTCTCGTCGAAGATGCGGTGACTCGGCCAGGCTCCACCTAGCAGCTCGAAGGTGGCGTCAACACTTTTCTCTGACTGGTTTGCCCCACGAGTGCACCGAGGTACGCGGTGGGAAAGCGAGTGTAGCATGGGAATATGCTAATCGCAGGGACGATTGTCGTTCTGATCCGGCGAATGATTTAATGAAATTTGCAATCTGCGAATCTCGCGGTGGCAGGTGGCGCTTTCGACCATCAGTCTCTCTCTCTCTCTCTCTCTCTCTCTCTCTCTCTCTCTCTCTCTCTCTCTCTCTCTCTCTCTCTCTCTCTCTCTCTCTCTCTCTCTCTCTCTTTCTCTGTCTTCCTCTCGCGCGGCGAAACGTCAACATTTCGTCAATATTCACAAATAAAATAGATAATATATTTTTTAATTTATCTTTGGTAAATGGACCTTAGTTGAGCGGAATTATGACCTAATTAATGTGGAAAAAATCACGGCGTCCCAGGAGATTTTCCCCCGAGGAAAAAATAAGCCGCTATATACGCGTGAAAATGATCTCACTTGTTGCTCTCCTCTTACAATAAGATATTCATTCTATATTCCCGTTTTATCCATCATCGAAGATCGCAGTGAACGATAACCGGTTTCCACTTGCAGCTACGACACGGAGAACGGCATCTCCGTGGCGGAGACGGGTCAGCCGAAGAACATCGGGCCGAACCAGATCGAGGCGGTCAGAGGTCAATTCAGTTACACTGCCCCGGACGGCACGCCGATCCTGGTTACTTACACGGCCGACGAGAATGGCTTCTTGCCGAGTGGCGCCCACCTGCCGACTCCGCCGCCGATACCGGTAGCGATACAACGCGCCCTGGCACACAACGCTGCTCACCCCGAGGAGGAGGACCCCTACCGAAGATACTAGACCTCGAGTTTACGCTGGAACTGCCCGACGCTTCGACGTTGACGGTCGTCTTCGCTCTCCGGACACCTCTCGTCTTCGGGGGATTCTTCAAGAGCGGCTCGTGATTCGACCTCCTCGGCTTACGATCACGCGAGCGAAACGTCAAAGCTCGTCCGCGGAAGAGGTGTGAGACGCATGTCATTCTCTCGCGCCTCTTCATCGCGCTGTGCCGGTGGAGAGGTCTCCGGAGACCGACGACGTTCCGCGATCCATAACGCGTTCCTCCGCGAGAAGATCGTCGAGGAGTTCTAGTGTTCGCCTGATGCGAGGAAAAGCAGGCGCGATCGGGCGAGACGACGTGAGATCGAGCGGTGCGCGAGCGAAGGAGAAAGATACGAATCGCGATTGTTGAAATTTTCACAGACGTGAAGAGATCCGCGCGGCACTACGACGCCGGGAATCCGTGTTCTCCGTCTCGAACGTGACGTATTGGCGCAATACGCGCGGAGATCGTCCATCGATGCGGTATGTTCATCCCGCGCTGATATTTGAAGAAATTGCGATTAAGGTGCGACACGAGGGAGAGAGAGAGAGAGGGAGCGAGAGGGAGAGAGAGAGAGAGAGAGAGAGAGAGAGAGAGAGAGAGAGAAGCCGTAAACGCGTTCTGAGCATGCCTGCAACTTATAAATACGGCTCGAGAGAGACGAAATAAAATATACGCGTCGCGCGGATTAAAATTATTGTATGTTGCACGCAGCCGAGCGCGTGCATGCGCGCGCACAGCGGCGTGTTCGGTGAAGTTCAGCGTTATTATGTAATGCGACAAGATAGCATCTTAATTATGAATTACGCAAAAGCGCTTTGCCGTGCTCGAGTCGGGATATATCATCGATACGTCGCGGCGGGACGGTAGCTCGGGACGGTGCAATTTCAGTTCTTCCCTCGGCCGCGATGACGGCGACTCCGACTGCGAGGCGGAGTTCCAATCGATCATTGCTCCGAGAGATCAAGAAAAGCTAAAAAGGCAAACGGTGAAATAATTACAACGCGTTCGAATGATCGAGGTGTGCGTGCGCAGTCATCGTGCGCGTAATTAAACGGAAACGACGTTACCCGCGCTCGTCCTTGACGATTTCACTCGTCGCCCGATCGTGCCTTAACTCTAAACGGAATGAAACACTCTCGACTCACGTAAAGCCACGAAACTGACAGAGCCCATGTGGGTGTTGGAGTTGGAGAAAACGAAAAGAAAAAAAAAGAAAGAAAGAAAGAGAGGGGAACGAACGACTTGGCGTTTTCGATGGTGGGGAGAACGAAGTGCCAGATAAAATCATTTTATTAACTATATTCTCTCTTTCTCTCTCTTTACTCGCCGACTCTTACTTCTGTACGCGGTTTTAAGGCGATTCTTATTCTGTACGCGCTTTTAAGGTGATTCTTATTCTGTACGCGATCTTAAGGCGAAAGGACGATTCCTCGAATGCAACGAGTCAAAGGGAGAATCTGTCGGGATTCCGTTTGCGCTGTTTACGGTTAACCGAGACTAACCGGCGACGTTCCGCGTCCCTCGAAGACCCGCCACGAAGTGTAACGCGCGCTTCTTCGCTTTACCGATCCTAACACGAAGAGACTATCTATCTACTGACGCGAACCGAGGTCCTGCGTGTCCTGCGTGATCATCGCCTCGCGACTGCCACTTTCTCCGTACTTGATTGGCAGAGTGGAAAAGTGGCAGAGGTGATGGCGGCGAGGTGAGCAGGATGCTCGCGCCGGCGACATGTCATATCACACATTGTGCTCTATTGTACTTATCATGCTATGGCTACCTTCATTAAATCCTTTAATTGCGCATGCGTACCCGCATTCTTAGTATCACAATTATGTACCCATCATCATTATTATTATTATTATTCTTATTCTTATTATTATTATTATTATTACCATCATCATTCACGTTGTACGACGCGCCATTAATCAAAGACTCGTCCGTCTCCCGCGAGGTCGATGATCTTTTTTAGCACGAACGGACTGCGCGATCGTCGGCGATAAATTATTTCGGCGCTACACGCAAGACGGACAACTCTATTTAGCGATAATAACGCCGAATTACGACGAGTTGTTCAGTCGCTGTTACCGTCGTTATTACCATCGCCACGACAAACGCTAAAACGCGCGCACCTTGTGTTTTGTGCGAATACTGTTATTTTGCAGTACACATTGCGAAAAGCGTTTGTCGTACGAGGCGCTGGGATAAGTTACGAATCGCCGCGCGTTCGGCGGATCGGCCGGTCATCTTTCCAGATTACGGACTTTACAGACGGGAGAACTCAAAGTCCAGCCGGTGGCTTGCAGCGATTCGTTTGCATAAGGATATGCCGTGCGACCTGGTCGCGTTACATGGACCGATTGCTCAATCTGTTACGTCAGAATTTGGCGAGGAATATACAGCCATAAGGGGGGAGGGGAGGGACATCTGTTCGACCGTTTCGGAATTCATTTCGACGAGTGTGCCTTTCTCTCTTTCTCGATCCTGCCGAGAGAACTTCCTGGTTGGAAGTTCCCAGAGAGAGAGAGAGAGAGAGAGAGAGAGAGAGAGAGAGAGAGAGAGAGAGAGAGAGAAAGAGAGAGAGAGAGAGAGGGAGAGAGAGAGAGAGAGAGAGAGAGAGAGAGAGTGAGACAGATTTTCTCAAAATTGCGCAAAACACCTGCCTATTTATTTGCGTCCGTTTTGACGATAATCTGTCTCGGCCGCACTGACCGTTTTAGCCGGCACGCGATGCCGGTCGATCACGTGAACACCACGGCTGCTCATTATGAGGCCGCAATGCGGGACGCGCGTCTGAGCAAATGAACGAGTAGAACAATCACAGCGGAGTAAGTTTGAACCGCTTTAACGAGGCCAACGAGTGTCATTATGAGGTAACCGCTTATATTCGCGCGTTAACGATTGAGCCGTCGGATTGAGCCGTCGGACGTGGACCGACTTCGCGATGTTGCCGTCTGAAAATGTACACGACTATTAAGATATTAATCGCGCTCGCGCGTGAGTGAATTTGAATTATTGCGAATTTCGCGCGATTGGATACGCGCGATCAGTCGATCCGCCAGGTGAGTCTCGCGACGGCGTCTCTCAAACGGCTTCCCGCCGCGAGGAATCCCGCGCTGTCACGCGTGTGCGCCGCGTTGGCAGTATCGTACAGCATATTTTATATCGCCAGACACGCGGCAATAATCTCCTTTATTACTCGGCACATGTCGCGCTCTTTTCTCCCCGTTCGATTATCTCGTCGAGCGATCGCGCGTATATTCGTTTATCGGCTGTCGGCTTTCGCGATCGTCCCGACCGTCGAGCGCGTATCCCGCTAAAGGACGCTGGTTCTAGCAACCGTTAATTAAAATCCTATCCCCGCCCCGTGGACACTCGCGGCCGATAAACGGCTGTTTTATCGCACTCGCGACGATTACGACGGCGCGGCTCTGGACACGCGAACGGCCGGAGGAGCGAGCGAGCGCGCGGACGCGAAATTTTAGGCGGACCGGCCGTGGAAATGCCACCCGGATTAATGTTAATGGTAATCGTAATATCATGTTAAAGGTGAGTCAGTGAAAGCAAATCATCGGTCTCCTGTCTATTGCACAACGCGCGACCGCACGAGCAAGCGAGCGAGCGAACGAATGAGCGAGCGAGCGAGCGAACGAATGAGCGAGCGAGCGAGCGAGCGAGCGAGCGAACAAGCGCATCTCTCTCGAGGCTCCTCCATTTATCCGCGAGATGGAAGTGACAGGGCATCGAATTTAGCGGCTGCCAGGGATTTTCTATGAATGGTTCGATAAGGGCCGGAGATACGAGGCAGGCGGCTCGTAAATTCGCGGCCGCGAGATCGCAAAGTCTCTCTTCTGCCGCCTCTCGCTGTGATAACCGTCGATAATTGATTATCGCGACGCGCGGGTATTTTTGGGACACCGTGTTGTCGCGCGTTCACAATACGAGCGCGACGCTCGTGACGTAAATCGCGCGGCCCGGTCGATGCATTCGCAAATCCAGCGATTGAGTCGAAAGGTCAGGCCCCGCGGTGCTTTCGTCTCCGGAATTAATTGGCGCTAATTGAAAAAGACCGATTGAAATCGGCACGATCGCGGGTCCCGGAGCGGCGGACTCCTCGGAGCGGATGGTTCGCGCGGGCACGCAATGATTCATGAATTCGGCAAGATCCCGCGGCGATTTACGGAGCCGCGCGGTCGTGTAACGAGGTATCGCGCGAGTGCAAATTGTAGTCCGCTCCGCGCGCAAATGATGCAAACACCTAAAGGTCACTCGGACCGTGTTTAATAGCTGAACCCGCGCGCGCACTGCTGGGGTGAAGTATTGTTGAAAATTATAATCGACAGTCGGTAGTTAATCATTACCAGCTGACAGTTATTAATGGTAATGGTTAGTTATCGCGGCTAAATAGTTGGATTCGACCGTGCGTGCGTACGTGCGCGGCTTCGAGCGAGCGAGCGAGCGAGCGAGCGCATCGCGCGCGCGTCATCCGTTCTCGTCTTCGCGTCCCGCCGATTTTTTGCAGATTCGGCAGGTGCACGACAATGTCGGGGGGATGATTACACGTCACGCCGTCACGGCGTGCGCTCCGACAGCACGTCGACAATTAATTCGAGTAGTCCCGTTGAATTATAGTAATTGCGAGCAACAAGTTAAAGTTCACGCATATGCGTCCACGTGCGTTGGACTGTCGCGCGCACGCGCGTGGCCTTCTCTAAATATCGAGGTCGAAAGGCCCCTCGCTTTCCATCTTTGTAACCCACAGACGTCCCGCGAGCGAGCCCAACCGGCGATAGACATCTTTTCGAACGCTGTAATTATACAGCTGGGCTCACACGTCGTTATTACGTAAGCCCCATCGAACCACCCCTAAGGATAAGACACGATCGTCGTCGATTATTCGCGCGAGCATCTCGGTCCCGATGAATTTCCATTTAACAAAGACAATGCTGAAACCGCGATTGCCGCTCGTTTTATCATTACTCGCTCTCCGAGAGCCTTCCTTCTCCCAGCCCCCCGTGATAATCCATTTCGCGCTCTTGACATCGACACTTAATCGCCCTCTGAAGATCTCACACACTTATACGTAATTATATGCAGCTAATTATACGACGAACTTACGAGCGGTCTGTGGCGAATCGCAGAACGAGTTACAGTCGTCGCGTTCCCGCGCGTGAAAAATCTGAATCTCGGGATCTGATCGCGATCGAGATTCCGGGTGATTTCCCAAAGTTTAAGCAGGTTCCAATTTCAAGTTGTCATGTTTCAATTGCACGAAAGCCAAAGTTTCCCCAATAATTTTTCCAGCTTCCATTTTAGATTTAATTTTTCTCTTCTCTTACTTGAAAATATTAATGGGGTCATAAAAACGGGGTCTCCAGTCGGTAACCGTAATCGCAATCGGTTTTGGGGCAAATTCGGGAGCTCCAATTGGAATCTGTATGTGGGGAAAGTGCTGAGAAATTTTAATCCGCGGATCGCGCACGGCAAAATCCACAGGTGTGTGAGTGCATACACGTGTGCGTGCTGTCGCACGAGTCGAGGTGCGAACCGCTCACCGGGCCGTTCGCTCGTTCGCTAACGGGGTCGTCGGATCGCCCGCGACCGAAAGAAGAAGACCGCGGGGAGAAGTGAACCGGGCCCGCCCGGTATCGCAAGAACAGACGCGCGAAATCTTTGACTTTGCATACAATCGCGGAGCGTTTTGGCGCAGGTCGCGCACCAGCGATGCCGGTCAAGGAGTCGAACGCCGGACCGGACGCGTCCTGTCGCAAAAATCGCGATCACACTGGACGCGCGATGCGCGCTGTCGCCGGCCGGTCGTTGCGCGGCGCCTGCCTTTTTGCGCAACGCCACTTCGCCATTGTATTCCGACGACAGAGCGTTGACAGGCCATCCGTTCGCGAGACCGTGCACTCGCGATTAGGAAAGTGGAGGATCGCCGGGTTTCGCGAGCGAGCGAGCGAGCAAGCGACGCGCGAAACCCGGCGCTCGGAAATTACGCGCGAGCGAGCGAAACTGCCGGCGTGACTACTTAATGACGGAATATTTTCCCACGTGTCTCGAACCGTAACTCGTCTCTCGTCGTAACTCCCGTCGACTTTTTCCTCGGTTTCTTCCACTTGTCAGCCATGAAGTTGCTGTGAACGTCAGGCTCCTGCATTTTTCGCCATTGCCCCTCGATACCTAATATCGCGGTAGAGCCTAATATCGGTGTTTTGCGTTTCGCGATCGCCTTTCTACGTTGATGGAGCGCTTTAAAGGTACCCTGAAGATTGAAGAGAAGTAAATCGCGAAGTAAATCGCACGGCGAGATTAAAGTGCGATTATTCTCACGATAGATGAATCTCGACAATGACGATGACAATCACACGCACGGGTCCCCTGGCACGAATTCCTTTCGTCGCTCGTCATCTATAACGGAAAGAAAGGAAGGGCAATGGCGCGCGAAGAAAGGAGAAGCTTCGAATGCCAGCTACGACTACGCTTGAGCGGTTTGAGCGATTTGTCCGGGTAGTCGCAATGGAAACGACCTCTCTAATAAGCACCTCGTCATCTGCAAATGATCGTACGAAGACCGTGACATCATCGACGTGATGTATCGCGTGCCCGACAAATTGTCGCCCGAGGGGCGAGAAGCGACTACAACCCCCCCGCGCGCTGATCGATCGGCGGGACCTTGAGGCTTTCGTCGCGGTGAAAGGCGGAACAGGAGGGCGGCGCTCTTACGCAGGAGAAGAGACTTAATTGTGTCCCGAACACAATGAAGCGAGGAAAACGATCGGAGGAAAAGACGAAGAGCCCAGGACG